CCTTAAGCCCGTAATATAAATTTGCATGGAATTTTATCAAAAACAAACCACTATGATAAAACTGTTAAACAAAGACAAAAAAAAAAAAAAAAAAAAAAAAAAAAAAAAAAAAAAAAGTTTGGCAGTTTGATTAACCTTAAAAGCCCGTAATATAAATTGCATGGAATTTTATCAAAACAAACCACTATGGATAAACTGTAAACAAAGAAAAACAAAAAAAAAATAAAAAAAAAAAAAAAAAAAAAAAAAAAAAAAAAAAAGAAGGTCATCAATAATATCAAAACTGCTCGAAATGGTTAAACTGATAAGCTAATAGACATGAAAAGATGTAACAGTTAATGTTACAAATCTTTGAAATGAATCTGCACATATAAAACAACACAAACTTTTTTTTTTTTAAATCTAACAACAGAAACTTCATCACGATAAAATAAACAGAAAATGCATTTCCACCAATAAAATCATTAAAGCATTTTTAAATCTAAACAAATTCAATTTTTCTTTCACGAATTCGTAAGAATGAGTTAAAATTATTTATGAGAAAAAATAAAACCAACAATCCAAAAAATAAAAGTCTATAATTAATAATTAAAGATACCTAATATACAAATGTTTAGGAAAAAAAAAGCAACTATATTTTAACGATGGTTTAATTTTTTATTACTTAAAAGTATTTTTGAAAAATATAATATGCCACCTAGACATTGTTTTAATTTTTTCCCACCTAGACCAATTGTTTTTAATCCTTTTTATATGCCACGTTTAATATCACTTGGCTCTCGGTGTCCAAAAATGAATTAAAAGCGGCCAAAGGCAGGTGCCAAAAAATGAATTAAAACGGCCAAAGGCATTTTCAATATTACAAAATTAAAGTTGAAGCATTTTTAAGTTACAAATTGAAGCGTAGGTACAATTAAATACAGATGCCCTAAGTTGAGGCACCACCAATGAAATTAACTCCTTGAATGAACTTTAATTGCTAGTTGGAGATCAATTTTTGAAGTTAGTAATTTTAAACCAATATTGATTAAACTTCATTTTAATTCTAATTCAAAGCAGACGGTGATGATGTCTATTTATTTGTAAGTGAGGCATAAATTCCATTTGTATGAGCTTTAACAGGCTAGTAGGTAAATTAGAGAGGGGGGAATTAATTGTAAGGATTGAGAAATCCGTGAGTGCAAAATTATGCGCCCTTTAAAATTTAGAGCAGCTTCCACTGTCCATTAGTTATTGTTAAGGGAAAATTATTATGTTATCTCTATATTTTTTAAATGCACTAATTTTTTTTTTATGTTTTACATTTGAGATATTAATATTTTTTTTGTCAGTTTTTTATATTTTTTTCGTTTAATAACTTATGAAAATGGGAACTATTCCTTTATTTAAACTAAAATTAACAAATTTCTATTGAAAAAATTGCCATTTTTATCCCTATATATTAATTAGTAGTATATCCTTACTGACGCGGAATCCTATGGAAATTAATTCCAAGAACTCTATGACAAGATTTGGAATAGGTCAAAGATCAAACTAAACTCTCCTCTATGGCACCCAAAGCTTAAAGAAGCAAGACTAGGAAAAGTTGGGCCTTAGGAATCAATTGTGGAACATAGGAAATTGAATATAAAACTCCTACGTTGGGATCGGCCGTAACCAACAAAGGGTCGCCGTAACCAAAAAGGAGAGGCACTAAATAGAAACCGGTTCTTGGTGCATGGTGGACCGCGCACTGTTCGCAACTAAGGCGGCTTACAAAAATCAATAAATAATAATATACAATCACATAAATAATGGGGGAAAGATAATTTATATTACAGTGAGTCAAAGGCTTTGGAAAACGCAGGCAGAAATTAGAAGCGATAATAATAAATACATAAATAAATGGGGAAAGATAATTATATTAACAGTTAGTCAAAGCTTTGAAACGCAGGAGAAATTAGAAGGAAGTGCAGTGGCCTGATCAACCAGTGTATCTTTCTAATGGAAACTGTGTCCTTAACTTAAAAATTTAAATTTTCTCCTACAGCAGGGGTATATTGATGATGGTGGATCCGTATCACTTACATTTAATGAAACAAATGCAAAAAATTGATGGAAGGACATGAAAATGTATCGGATTTAAAATATAAAAAAAATTAATGCATATTTAAAAATAAAAAAGAAGGTCGTTAACTTTTTCTTAGTGAACGAGTCCCACCAGCGATGAACATGATTCCACTTTCAAACCGAAATTGAACTGGTTAAAATCGACATTAAACTATAGTCAATGGTTTCTGGTTCCAAATAATAACTGAGTATACTTAATGTTCAATTTTGTCTTCATTTTTTGATATCGAAATCAGTAGTTTTGATTTAAAATCGATTGAATATAGCTTGAAACCGTGAAAAACACATTCTTAAAGAAAGTTTCAGCTTGTTTTTTGGTTTTATTATAGACTTTTTAAATAAATTTTAAGAATTAAATTGATTTAATATTTTTCAATAGTAATATTCATAATTATTACTCTCTTTGTTCTCTTTATTTAGAGAAAATTTTCTTTTTTAGGTTTTTTATATTAGAGAATTTTACTCTAAATAGTAACTTTGCAGTGCAAATCAAGTTAAAAAGACTAGAATATCCTTGGAGTGTATGTGCTTGTTTTAAGATTAAAGTTCAACAATCAAAGAAAGTGGCATACACAAATATTTTTAACATTTAATGTATGCGTGTTTCAAGAGACAAGTTATCAACTTACTTTTTCATTTTATTTTACAGTAACAGTGGTCATTTTTATAAATTTGGCCACACAATTAAAGTTATTACATTAAAAGTCAAAGTAATGGCTACATAAATACAGAGTTAACCCTTATTTGTATGTTTGATGAATATATGTCCACTTTTATCATTGTAAATTTGGTCACCGCCATTGATTTCAGCACGTTTTGTTTTTAAAAGTGCGGATGTTGTAAGCCATTTTATGGCATTGTTAGTATTAGTTGTGCACTTTTTTAGTAATTATATTTTCTATGTTAGGTAATAGTTATGAACTTCTGTAAGCTACTTCATAGCCTTATTATTATCAGTTGTACACTTTTAATTTTGAATTTGAATTGAAAAACTATTCAAGTTTAAATAAATTAGAGCCAAAATTTAAGTATTCCCTTCTTTTGTTCACCAAAAATTTTGGAAATTTGTGGCATTTAATAAAGAAATTCAAAAATTTGGCCTTTAATTTGGCTCCAAAATCTATTTTGTTTTTTTGACACATATTATCAAAACGACCTCATTCTAACAAAGTGTGATATAGTTAATAAAGAAAGTTTGAAGTGACTTTCAAAGAATGCAAGTATGCAATAAATACACTTCTTGGGACTGCTTTTTGTGTGAGCTATTATTTGCATAATTAATGAAAAAATTAAGGCAGCTTAGGGAGAAAACTTCATTTAACTAGTTTTCTTAATCTAAGAGTTTTTTCTTTTTTTTTTTTTCTAAATAAGGAGAACAGAGAGAATTAAGCTATAATTCAAAAAAAAATTTTAAAAAAGTTTGACATAAATTATTTAAATTTCGGTTTCAAACTGAAACAAAATCGAAATTGGCAGTTTCAAAATTGTGTTAGAAACTGCTTAAAAATAATTCATTTTTAATTTCACCTTTTTTATAATTAGAACCCGTGGTTTTAAAATTGACGGCTCTAAGACCGTGATCATGCCTAAGTCCCAATGTTAAATAAATTCAATTTTAACCATAATAAAATTTAACCTTACTTTTTCCCTCCAAATGTAACTTCCTTACAAAAACTGAATTAGATTTTTTTATTTAGATTTAAATTCTCTAAAACTCCTGTAAAAAGAAAAAAATATAATACGATCTCTATATTTTACGAAATACAATTAATAAGTCCTTATATTTTTCGAAATATATTAAAATATCTGTATAATTCATTTCTGTTAGACTATAATGCCTTTCCGTTCACTTTTTATATATTTTCCATCAAGTACCTTTTGAAATGACAAATATTTCCATCAATACCTTTTGAAATGACAAATAATATATAATATATATATTATATATATATATTATATATATATTATATATATATATATACATTATCTCTTATAACCTTTAATATATTTTTAAAAACCCATATGCGATGGATTTAATAATGTTTTTAAAATTATACAGGACGTATTGTAATTTTTTTTATGTAAAATTTTAATATCTTCTTATTTTTCTACCTCTGTATTTTCTCATTGACTAACGAAAAATATACCAAAAATTTGATAGGAAGACCTAGAAATATAACGAAGCAGAATATAAAAATAAATTGATATATTTTAGAAAATATAAAAATGAACTAGATATATTTATAAAATTACAAGAATCATATTGTAAATTTTTCCTTAACAAAATCCTGTAAAATATTACCATGCGTTAATTATTTTTGATGACTAAAATATATATTATCTCTTATAACCTTTAATATATTTTTAAAAACATATGGATGGATTAATAATGTTTTTAAAATTATAAGGATCGTATTGTAATTTTTTTTATGTAAAATTTTAATATCTCTTATTTTTTACCTCTGTATTTTCTCATTGAGCTAACGAAAAATATACAAAAATTTGATAGAAGACCTAGAAATATAACGAAAGCAGAATATAAAAATAAATTGATATATTTTAGAAAATATAAAAATGAACTAGATATATTTTATAAAATACAAGAATCATATTGTAATTTTTCCTTAACAAAATCCTGTAAAATATTACATGCGTTAATTATTTTGAATGACTAAAAGATTAGCTGAGAGTAAAAAACTGCCCTACAAAAGTAAAGAGAAGGCTATTCCCTTTCAATAAAGTCGATTCCTCTATTTTCCAAGAATTAACATCCAACAAACACCACAGCAGAGAGAGAAAGAAACAAAGCGTAGTGTGCCCACACGTTGCAGCTGTCTCCAGCCCATTTCCCTCCCATTTCCCTCATTTTACCCTTCACTTTTCCTCTCTTTATATACCCCTCTCTTCTCTGACTCTCTTCTCCATTACCACCACCGTCTCTACCACCACTGCTTCTCAAAATGGCAAATACCCATTTGCATTTTTTTCTTTCTTTTTCAGTTTTCTTCAGTTTATTCATTTCTGGCTATGTCTATGCTGCTTCTTCTTCTTCTTCAAATCCACAGGTCCAGACCTTAAACACTAAACCAGAATACATAAACCCTAAGCTGCCGCCAAGAACCTTTTCTTCTTCTAAGAAATATGAGGGTTCATCGGACTTGGTCCAGCTCCGCTACCACATGGGCCCAGTCCTCTCTTCTTCTCCGATCAACATTTACCTCATCTGGTACGGCAAATGGCCCAATTCCCAAAAACTTCTCATCAAAGATTTCATTAATTCCATCTCTCCCACTGCAGTGGCCGCTAAACCGTCCGTCTCCGAGTGGTGGCGCACTGTCTCTCTTTATACAGATCAAACCGGCGCCAATGTCTCTCGTTCTGTTCTCATAGCCGGTGAGTATTCCGATAAAGCCTATTCTCTTGGTACCCACTTGACTCGTCTTTCAATCCAGCAAGTAATCGCAACCGCCGTGAAGTCCGCTCCATTTCCGGTAGATCACAAGAACGGGATCTACTTGATCCTAACAGCTCAAGACGTCACGGTTCAGGACTTTTGTCGAGCTGTTTGTGGGTTTCATTACTTCACATTCCCGTCAATGGTAGGCTACACATTACCATACGCGTGGGTAGGAAATTCAGGCAAACAATGCCCCGAAGTATGCGCCTATCCTTTTGCAATTCCGGGATACATGGGCGGAGGTGGGCCTGGGACGTTGAAGTCCCCGAATGGTGATGTGGGTGTAGATGGGATGATCAGTGTGATAGGACATGAGCTAGCAGAACTATCTTCAAACCCCTTAGTAAATGCTTGGTATGCAGGAGAAGACCCAACAGCACCAACTGAAATTGGGGATCTGTGTGAAGGATTATATGGAACAGGTGGGGGCGGTGGGTATATAGGGCAAGTGATGAGAGATAGACAAGGAAGGACATTTAATATGAATGGAAGAAGAGGAAGAAAGTTTTTGGTGCAATGGATATGGAGTCCTCTGTTGAAGGCATGTGCTGGTCCAAATGCTATGGATTAGGATTTAAAAAAGTTTGGCTCATATTTTAGTTTGTGAGTTCTTTTGCTTTTTTTCTTTTTTTATTTTTTTAATTTAAAAAATCAGGTTCTCTGCTCTTGAATCTTGATTATTCTTGGGTTGTGGTGAGAACTGGGGATGGGTTGAAAAATGTGGGGGGGTGGGTGAGATTTGGAGGGTTTGGGATGGGGGTGGGAAGGATGAGATGATATTTCATCAATTTTCTTATTTCTTTATTTATTTTTTATTTTTTTAAATTAGTTATAGTTTAGATGTATAAAGAAAGAGGATAATGATATTGATGTTAGATTTTTAATTAATCATAAGTATATTTTATTTATGATTACATTCTAAAGTCTTTTCTTTTGATGTATATATTTTTTAATAATTGTTGAATTTTTTTGAATTAAAATAATATTTTATTGATTTAAAGAATAGTAAACAATCATTGGTTCTTTGAGAATTTTATATTAAATAACTTGCTAAGGGGGGATGGTGTTGATGTTAGATTTTCATCTAATTATATTTTATTCATCCTTAGATTTAGGACCATAAGTTGTCCAAATTAGTAAAAATTTACTATTTTTGGTGTGTTGTGAATTTTAATTATAAAATAAAAATGGAGGGTCCAATTAATTTGAGATTTTTATTGTTCATTTGGGATCCTTAGATTTAGGATCTTAAGTAAAAATTTATTATTTTTAATGTTAGTATGAATTTTGTTACTATAAAATAAAAATGGAGACTAATAAATTTGGGACTTTTTTTTAAAAGATTCATTTGAGATTAATGTTAGTTGGGATTAAGGTTTAGTTATTACTGACTGTAGAAATTAGTAGTTAACTGATCCAATTTAAATTTTACGGCTAAGATTGGCCAAATTCATGGTATATAAAATAATCACTAGATGGGTCAAAGCAGTTAAAATGTGATTTAATTAATGAATTTTATCTCATAGCCCTGAACCCATCATAATATACAATGCACACTCCTTGAACGTTAGAGGGAATAACCACCGTTATATTTCAGTTTTTAAATTTAAAATTTTCGGTTCTAATTATAAAAAGGTGGGATCAAAACTGAATTATTTTTAGATGGTTTTAAAAATATTTTAAAAAACTGAATAAAATGAGACTATCATTCCGATTTAAAAAAAACGAAGAATTGAAATTAAATTTTAAGTAATGCTTCTAATTAGAGTTTAGAATCAAAAACCATTTATCTCGATTTAATATTAATTTTGACCGATTTAATTTTAATTTGAAATTAAACCGTACTAGAGACATGACCCGTAACGGGGCCAGCATGCCCTGCTTCAAACTGGTAAACTACTACTCAAGTATATATTTCCAATAATTTTGCGTTATGACCTTAAAGAAAAAAGTATATATAAAATAACAATATATTCACTATGCATAAATCCAAAAGTGATATATGAAGTTTGTGTTTTTAAATATGATTTAATATTGTATTATGGTCCTCCATAATCATAAAAGCCAAAGTCAATTAAAGCAAAAAAGGTTTGCCTCAAATAGCAAACCTCTGCTTATTATTCACATGATATAAATAATTTTATTCCTAGTTTGCCCTTAGCCTTTGCCCTACTTTAGTGGGAAGGATCTTTGGGTGTTGCCATTTCAAAATTTTGAAAGAGAAATTTATTATAAAAAAAAAAAACACAAAAGGAGGGAAACAAATTCTAGTTCTAGTGGGTGTGGAAGAGTCTTGTGAGGCCACATCAATCATCATGAAGAACTTTAATACAACATTTGTGATACACAGCTAATATTGGGACCCACAGTAAGGTGACCTAAAAGGTTAATTATTGTGTGACTTGATTTTTCAGGCCATGACTTCTATATTGCTACTGGTGGCCCCTTTGGTAGGGTGAAAATTGAATTGTTTACGTACTTTGATTGGCGTGTTGCTGAGTTACGAGTTGATAAGGACAACATGCATAAGGGTCCGATAGATCACAATCCATCCAACGAGCTGACGCTAACCCTGATTCGGTTTGTCTCTCAACTTAACGCTAATATATTTTATTTTGTCTATCTTTTTAAGGGAAATTATAGTACGATTTTTATAATTTGCATATACAATTATTCTATTCTTATTTTTTAAAAATTTATTAATTATTTTTTCTTAAAATTCAAGAAAGTACATTAATTTATTTTTATATTTTTACTTCCATCCTTTTATAAGGTCATTTCATCTAATTTTTATATCTTTCTCATTAATTACCTTATAAAATGATGAAAATATTTATTTTATTTTTAAAAAATAAGAAAAGATTAGTTGTATTTTTCAAATCATAGGAATTGCATTATAATTTTTTTATATAATATTTTAGTATTTATCATTTTCTTTTATATTTTTTTATTAATTTAATAGAAAAGATGTAAAAATTGAATAGAATGATATAATAGTGTATCAGAAATAAAATATAAGGATAAACTAATATATTTAAAAAACAAGAATGTAGCTTTTTCTCGACAAAAAATTAATGAGTCTCTTGAATAATAGCTTGATCGAAATTATCATAAAGAGGAAGAGAAAGATGTTATTATATGTGTATTAGCACATGCATCTTGCTTGATGGGGATACTTTTTAGCTACAGAAACAGAGAAAGAAGACAAAGTTGGTTAAGGAAAGATAAAAAAAGGTAGGAAAAGGAAAAGGAAATATCCAAAAAAATGTAGTTTTCTCATCCATCTAATTAGAGGGGTCCCTTATTCACCAACAAAAACTGTCCAAATCAATGAGTTGGAGAGCCACATGCGCTGTGATGAAGAGCCCTTTCGCGAGGACTATCCCGTTCCTAGGGGTATAACCCTGCAAGATATCTAAATAGAAAAGTTGGGAGAAAATACTATGAGTTTGGAGGCCCATCCAAAAAATGAAATGGCCACTCCCTTAAAAATATAGGAAAAAACAACTTCTCCAGTGCGGTGATCATTTGATTTGGTCAATTCGGCCAATTCAATTCGATGAATAGATGTTCTGTTAAAAATTCAGTTAAAGAAAACTAATTTTTTGATTATCAGTTAAAAGTTCAATTAAAAGTTAATTTAACTAAATTAATCAAATTAATTAATTTTCAAAATTACATTGTTTTGATTAAGCAGATAATAAAATTAAAAATTAAAAATATATCAATTTTTATTTTGATTAAGTAGTGATTAATAATTTCGGTTAATTTTTATTTCAGTTAAATTCGATTGGTTAATTAAATTTTTATTTTTTTTTAACTTTGGCTCCGTTAATGATTAAAATTAATTTGGTTAAATTTGGTTAAATCCGATTAAGTTAAAAAAAATTTCAGTTAATATATTTCAGTTAAAAATGTTATTTTCATTGATGGCCGAATGCTCACCCCTAACTTTAATCATTGATTACTATATAGAAAGTCTAACCAACTTAACTAGTGATACAGTAAGGAAATTAGACATGGATTTGGGAAGATTACCTTAACCAAGCACATTCATCCAACTATGGTGTTACTAATTTGATTAAACTTATATTGCATTGTTTTTAATTTGACCTATTATTATTAATTTTGTACAGTATATTTATTTTTAGCCATATGTATAATAATCTAAATAAAATAAACCAGTTAATCAAACCATGTAATAGTAAAAAAATGGAATTGATGGAATGCATAATAATTCCTGGTATGAAATTGTAACTTAGGATAGACCTAATCATATCCATGGATAGAGATGAAAGTGAGACGGGTATTTTAGGGTATCCGCTCTGCTCCAATTCGTTTAATGAGGGTACGGATAATTATAAATGGTTTTGAGACAGATATTGGTATTGAAATTACTATCTACAACACATATGGGTAGGGTACGTGTATAAGACTCTAGATATCCACTGTAATAAACGGTCTTAGCCATGAGTACCCACAAATATTCTACCATTTATTAGTTAAAAATGCATTTTAAATAAATTATGTCTAGATAATTTAAAATTTGCGGATACCCTACTCGTTTAACATGTTCTTTAAATGAGTTTGAGACAAATACAACTATTTACATGGATATTTAAATGAGTTTGTGATGGATACGAATAGTAAAATTTTAAATGGATACGGATATAGGTAATTTAAAATTCGCTGGTACCCGTTCCACTTTCATCCTTATCCATGAACCAATGTACATTTTCCACAAAATCCGAGTAGGATTAAGAAATCTTATTTCTAATCCTCTACAAACTTGGAAGTTAACTAAAACTAACACTCTTTGTGTCTCATTAGATTCATTTATAGTAACTTTTTTCTTCAATAAATTCCTCCATATCTTTTTCAGATCTATCAATTGGTGTATTGAATATAGACCACGACCTAATTTTTTCAGATCTAATAACCTCGACGCACTCTTTGTAACTCACCATGGAAGATAATAAAAACCGCATTTATAATATGGAAGATGCTGACAACAGTAGTGGTGGTAATGGTGCAATCCTAGCGGAAGAAAATAGAAACAATTCTATTCCCATAGAGATTATTGGATCCTTCGGTGGTGGTAGGTTGAATAATTTTGTCGTTATTTTAGAGGGACTCATGCAATGTTCACAAAAACTATAGCCGTCCACCATAATTATTCAACAATTCTATACTCCATCCTCTCCAATTGCTCTGCTTCATACATATAATTGGGGAAATCAAAACTCAACAAGTCAGCTTAAATAAATTCATGGAAATCATATGAAGGGAGAGTAAGAAGGGAATAAAAAGAAACTCGGCAAGATAAAACATACTATATCAATATGCAATCTAACCTAAGTAATTTAGTTCACCCTGCCATGGCAGATCTGGATTCCCATACCAAGATCAAAGATTTATTGAGAGAATATAGGGAATCGGGAGGTTATATGAGTAATTATAGGAGTAAAATGATTCGCCCCCTGTCAACAACGATTATGAGTGCAATGTTTATGCTAAAGTTTAAAATGTCAACATTTGATAAATATGATGGAATAACTTCTAAGAAGTCACTAACAGATTTTAGAACGATAATTCACTTATAAACAAATTCAAATGGACAAAATGCGCTAAGTTTCCTAGTAAT